GAGGTGTGGATGAAAATTCTGTCTGCGGGAGCTGTTCCTGGGCTCCAGGGTAACAGTTATGTTCAGGAGTGCTCCAGTGACAATATTTTAATCCAGCTTTCCTGGACATTCCTGCTGACATTTCTGGGTTTAGTTGGAATAAAGTACTAGAGCTGTAACCAGAGTTAACAATTCTATACTACAATATTTCAGTTAAATTGCAGGTTATTAAATAAAGCAAGCCAATTCCTGATCTTACTTAATGTACATTTCCAGTAATTCAGGATCTGATGTCAACAACAAAAAATGGTTTAGATAGTGCAAAGGAGTAAAATAATCAGATTATATTTCAGGAAATGTATAGTGTTTATTTCAAAGCATTTTAAGGTGGTACAGAGGTAGTAGAAGGCTCTGCAGGGTGGTGCTTTGGGTCAGATGGACAAAAGGGCTGTTCCTGGTGAGGCTTTGGCTCTTGGCTGGGATGGGCTGGGGGATTGCTCCCTTCTTGCTGGGTGTGCAGTTCTGCAGTTCTGTGCCCTGCGTCCTCCTCCTCCTCCTCAGGAGCTGGAGCCCCTCTCCTCTGAAATCACCCTCTCCTCTGAAATCACCCTCTCCTCTGAAATCATCATCTCCTCTGAAATCACCCTCTCCTCTGAAATCACCCTCTCCTCTGAAATCATCATCTCCTCTGAAATCACCCTCTCCTCTGAAATCACCCTCTTCTCTGAAATCACCATCTCCTCTGATATAACCCTCTCCTTATTGCTCTGAGCCACCCCAAGCTCAGGGTTCTTGTAGCAGGGATCTCCCAGGGAGAGCACACAGGACAGCACAGCTTGGAATCCATTTTTATAAAATTAATCACACTCTGTACATCATCAGGACAGCAGCATCTAAGCAGAAATATTTTGTCATCTGCCACTCTTTTTTTTTTCATAATTTCTGTTGGTACAAGGGCTAAAACAGGTATTATGGGAAAACCCAAGAGCTGCCTTTGTACCCTGCAAGTCTTTTGCCTCCTTTCCAACCAGCTTTTTACCCCATTCACGGGGCAGATCCCATCTGTTTCACACTCTGGTTGCTTTTCTGCTTTTCCACTTGGTCAGACTGTTGTATTCACAGGGGCCCCCGATGAGGGGAGAGAATGATGCATCTGACTCCATCTTATCAGAAGGCTAATTAATTACTTCATTATACTGTATTATTCTATACTATATTACATTATATTACATTACATCTAAACTGAATCTGCCAAGCACTCAGCCCTGCACACACTGCACAGGTGGCTGTCACCCAACAGTCCTGACACACACACACACCTGGCCCTGACAGGCCAAGGGAACAAAACCCCATCACTGTGGGTGAACAATCTCCACACTGCATTCTGCCTTGGCACAAACACAGGCACAGCAAATGAGAAGAATTGTGTTTTCTTTCTCTGATGTTCAGAGAATGTGAAACCCAGAAATATTCTTGGGAAGAATTGTGCCTTGCTTTTCTCTGTGAAGAGAAATGTGGTGACACCAGACCAGAGCTGGGCCACCTCTGATGTGCTGCTGGTGGCACCAGGGAGGTGAAGGAGCTGAAGAAGAATTAACACAGATTCCATGCAGTCTGTGACACGTGGAGTTTAGTCAAGCTACGTGATGAATATAACTGTGAGCAATCTGGACAACAGCAATATCTGTGCATAATGCACGCTTATCTCCAGAGCTTTAAAGAGGGAGTTCTTAATCATGGGTGGAACTTCAAGGATAAGAGAGCCCCTTTGTCTCCATGGGCTGTGAACTCACTCCCTTCAAATGGTCCTGCTCTCCTGGTGATGTGTGTGTGGAAGGGAGGATTTAGCAGGAAAGGATAGGATAGCAGGGTTTGAAGGGAGGATTTAGCAGGATTTAAAGGATAGGAGAGCCCCTGTCTCCATGGGCTGTGAACTCACTCACTCCCTCCCTCCCTCCCTCCCTCCCTCCAAATGGCCCTGTTCTCCTGGTGATGATGTGTAGAAGGGAGGATTTAGCTGCTAGTATGAGCTGCCTGAGCCTGGCTTTGCCCATTTTGGTCCCTTTGAGGGCTCTGGCATTGCTGCTGCTGCTGTCTCTGCATTCTCCATGTCTGTGCAAACTCCATGCACTGCTGTAGGTCTGTAATTGCACTCAGGGACAGTTAATGGAGCCTGGTGATTCATGGGGGAAAAAACAATGTCGTTTGCCAAAAAACACCCCAGCCAACCCACAGGTTTCTTTACGCTGGGTTGTAGTGATGGTGATGTAAGCCTGCAGAGAAATTCCAACAGCTCTAACCAGGGGCTGAATGCAGAGCAGTCAGGAGCAGTGAAAAGGAAAACCCTTGCATTTTGCTGATGTGGATGAGTTTCTGGTCCGACAAAGCAGCACACACAGGGCATCCCCAAACAGACTGGAGGTGGCCAGAAGCTGACCCATTAAATTAAATTTCTCCTGTTTTACAACGAGATGATCTCAGGAAGCTGTGTCACATGTCCCTGTGCTTCCACAGTGGGTCACCATGAGTTTGTTTTCACATGATGAACTGTGTTGAGCATTCAAATAATATGATTTGTGAATAAAGGTAAAGGCAGGTAAGATGCAGCAGGGTTGTAATATTGTCCAAATGCATTGATGTGGATTTTTACACTCCACACCACCCTTGGCTTCACAGTAATAGTTCAGCTGAGCTCTTCCTGGGGACACAGGTCCAGCTGGGTCTGCTTCTAAGATCTGAGCCCTGCCATCATTTTGGGAGTGTTATTGCATTGGAAAGCTTATCCTTCAGATTAGTTTACACATCTATGAGTTATTGCCAAGAAAAAATAGAACATTGTCTTTAAAAGGCTCACTGAACAAAAAAATACCATCTCAGTGCAAAAGATTTTCCTTAACCATTTGTCCAGTCAATACTGTCTAGCTATTAAGTCAAAACATGATTTTTCTCAATTCTCTGTTCTAAACAATCTTTTTCTTTTTTTTTTTTTCCTGAGAAGTGACATTTATTGAGTTTACTGAAAAAGCAGGCCACTCTCAGTTATTTCTTTTTCTAAGCCACACCTTTAGCAGCAGTGTCCTACAGTGTGTTCTCCCAGCAGCTTGCATCAATTTGTTGTTCATTCTAAATGAAACTAAGGTAGGACAAATATATCTAGAGAGCTAGGTCTCCCCCTAGCTCATTCTGTTGCCTTTCTACAATAGAATTTGGGCCTTGTTTTCTACTCAGAAGTGCTGTCCTCAGCTCCAGCACACATTGGTTCACAGTGAAGGGAGAACATCTGGCATTTCCAGGTGTGTGTGGATGATCAAAGTGAAAGATGGAGCAGGGGCTTCCTCTGCACATTTCAGCCCAGAGCAGCAGAGCCAGTGGCTCCCTCACTCTCAGAGATGCCAATTTGAGTCTTTAATGAGATCCTCCCTGGTGTGTGTGGGTCTGGAGAGTTTGGTTTGTGAGCACTTGTCCAGCTCAAAGCTGGTCATGCAAAACATCCCTGATGCCCTTTGTTACAAGTGGGTGCTGCACTCAGGGGTTCATGCAACCCTAAAAATCATAACTCTCAAAAAAAAGGCTGCTCTGTAGCTCTGTGGAACTTAAATTGTATCCAGACAAATGCTGGAGCAAATCTGAAGGAGTCTGGGTGCTTGCAGGCAGCACTGGGCTCAGCAAACACTGATGGATTCAGCTCCTCAGCTGGGGTACAGAATGATCTGTAGAGACCAAAATGCTCTGAAAAAGCAGGACACTCTCAGTTATTTCTTTTTTCTAAGCCACACCTTTAGCAGCAGTGTCCTACAGTGTGTTCTACCCCAAATTTTCCCCATCAGGGTACCCTGGTGGAGCCCCAGCCCAAGCAGGACTTGAAAATACCTTTGTGGGGTGTTCCCAGAAAGGACTGGCATGTCACATTCACATTCTCTGGAAAAATCCCTTCACCCAGGGTTTTTCTCCTGGGAAGCTGAGAAGCCTCAGAGAAAAGGAAAACAATTCAGATCTCATTTGCTTCTCCTGTGTTATGCTCCTGTGGAATGTGTTTGGAGATTGTTCACCCACAGGTGATTGTTCCATTGGATTCTGCTGGGAGTTGTTTTCACTCTTTGGCCAATCAGGGCCAAGCTGTGTCAGGGCTCTGGAGAGAGTCAGGAGTTTTCATTATTATCTTTCTAGCATTCTGTAAGTATCCTTTCTGTATTCTTTAGTACAGTATAGTATTCTTTAATATAATATAGTATAATTAAGTAATAAATTAGTGTAATAAAGTAATAATAGAGTATAATAAAGTAATAAATTAGCCTTCTGAGCACATGGAGTCAGATTCATCATTCCTCCCTGTACCCCACAAATGCAGAACTGGCAGGAGCAGTTCAGTCACCAGCCAGTGAGAGGGATCTGCTGTTCCTCAGGAGAGCAGGGCTTGCTCAGAGGGAATTGCTGTGTGTGTTCCATGCCTGGGGAGGCCCAGCACAGTTGAGGCTCCCTGGAGCTCTGGAGGGCAGCAGCTGCTGCTGTGCTGTGTCCCTAGAGTTTGTCCCCAGTGTCCCCAGCTGCTCTGGCTAGAGAACTCCAATTCACACTTTGATTATGAATCCTTTTCAAATCCCATCCCCCTCGTTGATTGGAATTTGTTTCAATCTGATGAAACATCATTTCTGTCTTAAATGCCCCACGTTTCTGCAATAACCTAAGAGTGAATTTTTGGAGGCTATCAGCTTTGACTGCTGCATGGAAGAACTTGAGAATGTTAGTTACAAAGGTTCAAATATTAAATTATGAATGAAACAAACCTCTCCATGGTTTATGAAATTGCTGTTGGTTCATGACTTGAACAGTTAAAGTGGTAAATGATACTGCTAGGATCTGTGACTTTTATTCTGGTTGGTGTGTTTTAAAACATAAATATTTATAATAAATTTCATTCCCATTTGCAAAACATTTTTTTTCTGTAAGTCCCCTGTAATACGATTCTTGATTCTGATGGATGTGGTTCCACTCACTGATCTGTTCTTTCTTCTGTTTTTCAGTTATACCAGCAGAGTTGTTTCCAATGGACTGAAAGCACAAATTAATAATCCAGAACTGAAAGTCAGAGGATTGGACCCACTCATCAAAAATTTAATTGATAAACTTCAGCACTTTAATCAAGTAAGTAATTTTTCCAAGATAAAACCACTTTATCATGGAGCTGAAGGTAAAATCTCCAGGTGGAGATTCATGTTCGTATTCCATCATCACCTTGCCGGACTGCAGGCCTGAGGCAGCTGTGGTTTGGTTTGGCTAAAGGCAGCTGAGGATCCCATGGTCCCAGCTGGGCTGTGAGCTCCAGGGAGGCAGAATTCCCTGGAAATTGCTCTCTGGCTGCTGTTGGAGCTCTTGCTGCAGTTCCCCTGGAGCCTCCTGGGCTGCAGCTGCCCCTGCTGGGACACTCCTGCCCTGGGACTGCCCTCTGCTTGTGCAGCTTCTGCTCCTCTGGGGGCGATTGAGCCCTTCCTGACCCAGACATGGGGCAGCTGAGAGGTGTTCTAAACACTTTTGTTCCATTTTCAGTCTCATGGGAAGCATGAGACAATACAGATGTTATAATTCACACCATCAGGTCCCAGGACGAGGGAAGAGATGAGGATCTTGTTCCATGTTTCAGAAGGCTGATTTATTATTTTATGATATATATGATATTAAAAGAAAATGATATATTAAAATTACACTAAAGAATAGAAGAAAGGGTTTTTATCAGAGGGAAAGAATGGGATAGAAAGGGATGGAATGAAATTTTGTGACTGACCCGAGAGTCCGAGCCAGCTGACTGTGATTGGCCGTTAATTAGAAACAACCACATGAGACCAATCACAGATGCACCTGTTGCATTCCACAGCAGCAGATAACCATTGTTTACATTTTGTTCCTGAGGCCTCCCAGCTTCTCAGGAGGAAAGATCCTAGCAAATAGATCTTTTTGTCTGTGACACTCTGGGCTTTGCCAAAACTTCACAGAACAATGCCTGGGATGTTTATCTGACTTTCTTTTCTGACCTGTGGCACTCGTGGTGCTGCTGCCATCCCCGGAGCTCAGGGTGGTCCCTGTGCTGCTCTGGGAGCTCCAGCTGGAGCCAGCAGCTTTAACCGGATTGATTTTCATTTAGAGCAGGCATGTTCTGCTGGCAGCCTGCAGGGATGCTCTCAGCAGAGCTGTGGGCACATCAATCTGCTCATCACCTTCCACCATTAGAGTGTGGGGATGGAAATAGTGGGAAACACCCTGGTGGGTGGGTGTGCAGGAGGGAGAATAACCTGCTCAGGTAAAACTGAGGGGTGATGCTCAGTCAGGATCTGGGAGGTTGTTAAGGCTGTGACTGGGAGTCAGGAATTCCTCTACTTGCACCTAAAAAATGCTCCTTACCTCCTTCCCTCTCATCAAGCAAATCTATAAATCCATAATCTAAGCTGTAATTAGTGCTTTTGTTACATCTTGCTAGTCCCTAATATTCTCCTGTTCTGAAGGCTGCAGTTTAGGGATGCTTTGTGTTTGATTTAACTCACCATGGGGGATTACAACAACCAGTCTGGTGCACTGCTTAATATTGCACTGAAATAGGCATTATGTGGTCAGATTGATGAAAAGGATAATTCATTATTTATCTGTCTTTGCATGTTATAAAGTAGAGTGTTAATTTACTTTATAAATATTAGATATATCCATCTGTGTAATAGTGCTCTATAAACACTGACAATTGGAAATAGTTAGAAATAGATTAAATCAAAAGTAGTTGTGTATTGGAAATTCTATTTCTTTGTCTGCTGTAGGAAAATAAAAATCTGCCTGATCTGAGCTGCATACCAATTTTCTTAAATTACATACATTTTAAAAACAGTCTCAGAAAGCACTTTTTAGCCAGCAGAATAAAATCCAGCTCTTGGCTCTAAATTGGAAGTATTGCATTTTGGTACTGGTACCAGTTTCAGGCGAATATCTTCTTTAAGTAAATGTAACTCCCATCAGATTGAGGTGCTTAGCAAGAATGGATTCCAAGGGTGAAGGATTAAACAGAATACTGATTATTGCCCTAAGATGGTTTGTTCTTAAGTACTTAGAATAATATAAAATCCTTTGATCATAATTTTAGTAAGATTTCTTTGGAGATCAAAGCATCAAAGAAGTTGCTAAATATCTGAGGCTTTCACATACAACATCAAACACATGTAGCTGTTTTCTACTTCTTGGATTTTTGTTTCAGTGTGATATTATTGTACAAATAAGAACTGACACTGAAAAGCCAATTAAATCAGGAGCTTAAAGTGACATCAATAGTGTGTGTAGACTGTGGAGTTATACAGAATTCTGTTCCTAATTTTATGGACAAATTGAATTTTTTCATAAGAATATATTTTTGATTTTTTTTTTTTTTTTGTGATATGTAGGGTGAAATGTAAATACTGGTCAAATAAGATGTTGTGTGTGTATCTCCTGAAATATTTGCAGCAGTGTTTGGAGCAGTGGGGAGAGCAAAGCCATGCCCACAATGTGCATCAGAGGTGATTTGGGTGCCTGGGCCCCAGCAACTTCCTACCCCTTCAATAATATTGCTGAGCTACCCAGAGGAAAGCACATCCTTGGGCAGGAGAAGGCTGTGAGATTTTTAGAGGAATAACATTTGAGATTAGATTTTTAGAGGAATAACATTGAGATTTTTAAAGGAATAACATTTCTGTCTCAGGGAAACCTGCTGGGTCTGTCCCTCAGGGATTTCACTTTCTCTCTGGTTTTCAGTGTTTGAAATCAGAATAACCTGCTCTGGATCAGTTTGCTGAGGCTGGGGAGAGCTGTGTTCAAATCAACATTAATTTTCCTAAAGGATTTGCCTTAGCTCAGCAGTTCCTGAGGATTTCTGGAGCAAACCTCATCACTGCTGTCTGTGATGGTTTCTCTTCCTCCTCCTCCTCCCTCTGCCAGGCCAGCAGGGCTTGGCCACTGTGACAGGAGTGGCTCTGGCCAGGCAGGAGCAGCCAAAAATTCCCTCATTCAAACCCCACCCTTTCTTTGCCTTTCCTTTGTGAGCTCCATGTGATGCCCACAAAAATCCAAAAACTCCATTGACCCTGAATCTCATGGATGTGAACAAAACTCTTGTCCTGCTCCTGTTCCAGTGAGTGCTTCCCAGCTCCAGCATGTTCCAAATAATCTGTATGCAAGACATCTTCCAGTCCTGCTGTCATTTAGGCTGAAATGCCACTTTGGTGGAGATTAGAGCAGCTCCTCATTTTTATTTTTTTTTTCATCAGGGACTTAAATCCTCAGCACATCGTTGTTGTTTTTTTTTTTTTTCTAAAATGATTATGCAAATAGCAGGCTATTTTATATCCACTTGGCAAAGCTGGAAGTAAAGTGAAATTCAGAGAATATTATTCAACAATTACTGTTATTTGCATCCCTGACAGATAAGGAGGTTGAAGGGTTTATTGTTAGTGGCTGATTCACATATCAATAGAATTACTGAGCTACAATTTACAGTAACTTCTGGTAATGCAAAACAGATCAAGTGAAGTCTCAGGTTGATGGGAGAAAAAAATCAGCAGAAATAACATCTTTTCCTCCTTCTTTTTTGTGAATAGAGCAGGTGTGAACCACAATTGATGTTGAACACAATAATCCCCCATTGCACCTTTTGGAGTGCTGCTTCTTGCCACAGAATCACACTTAAATGTTTCAATGTTATTCTTCAGCCTAATGCTTTTCATAGTTCAAACTAAACTGGTTCTCAGGCCAAGGTTAAAAATCCTCAAGGATCAATTGCCCTGAGAAGAATTGAGAATGCTGTGAAAAGTGAAAAAGCTGTGACTGTACCTTCACCAGCAGGGAGGTATCAGCATTCTCAAGGGATTACAATATAATAAGCATTATACAGGTTTGACTGATTTGGGTTTTGTCAGCCTAAATCTGCTCCTGACAGGTTTTGTGAATCAGTTTTGTGTTTTGCTCTTGTCAGAGGTGAATGCTCAGGGCATGGCTGGAGTTCAAGGCAGTGCAATAACCCAGTGCAGAAAATGAGAGTGATGTCAAAGCAAATCTTGCTGAATGTGGACCCATGTATATAATTTTTTTTCTCTCTGCCAAAGTCTCATGGATCTGCCAGCTGAACTAAGAAATGCATGTAGCTTAATTCCTTTCAGACTTCCATACAGAGGATTCTGTTAGAGCAGAGTTCAAAGCAACAGCACTGAGGTGTTTCATTCCAATAACATGAGCCAGCCATAATTTAATCTTGAAAGTGAATTTAGTTGAGTTATACAATAGGGAATAATACAATAAATCATTTAAGTAGTACTTAATTTAAAAGTGTGTATTTTTTTAGACATCTATAAAATTTATTACCTCGTAGAGTTTTTATATGAGATATGAGTGGAGACAAGTTGGTTTGATTTTTAGCCAAAGTTGTAGCTGCCTTGGACTGGGATTCAGGATTTTCTGTTCTTGGTTTCATCCATGGAAGGAAAGGCATCACCTGAGGAAGATTCTGCAGCTGTGCTGCTCCTTTCTGAATTCTCCTCCCTGGGAAGGCATTAACAGCCCTCAGCACCTTGGTCTCCCAAAGCAAACAGCAGGGATAATTGAATTAATACCACATTTATTGGCTGATTAATGAATAGCACCAAGACATGCACATACTAGAGGAAAATAAAGAATTAATGTAACCTGAAACAATTATGTTTAGGATCTTGTGAAGGCCAGGAAAGGCCAAATGAACTGCATTGTTTTGGTTTTTTATTTCCTGCCCTGCTCTATAACAATTGTTCACCCTTATAGTCAAATAAACTATCATCTCAGATTACTTCAGCAATTATACAAAGTTTGTTTCTCATCCTGTTTTTTCTTTTCAATATGTTTGTCCTTATTGGATTCATGGGCAGTTTTTCATCTCCCCTGCTAAGTCAAACAGGTCGTTGCTTCCAGATATGGGTGCTGAATGTTCAGCTCTGAGATAAGTTATGATCTTTTTCACAATCCATGTGCAATGAAACAATTCATTCCAATGCTTTAAATAATCCAGTTTACTCAAAGACTGAAAATGATCTTCCTCAGTGTGCTCTCTTCTGTATGGTTTTCTATTTCTTAGGAAATACATATATTTATCTATATAGATGTGAAAGCAG